TCGGCCTGTGGCCATGTCTGTGAAGCATTTTCTTGATTGTTGAGTGACGTGGGAGGGCCCAGCCCACTGTGGATGCTGTCACCCCTGGGCAGGTGGTCTTGGATTGTATCAGAAAGCAGGCTGGCTGGAGTGGTGGTAATATTTTGGAAAGATGAATTTGCTGTCTTTTAACTCCATGAGGCATGGAAAGAGGTAAAGTTATCAGAATAAATAACTAATGATATAACTGTTTCCATGGTATTATGATTCAAGAAAGAAAGGAATTATTAATAGTTTTAACTTGGTTTTTCATTATTGTCTTTCACATAGACACATCTTCTAAGATAGCTGCAACTGCTAAAAAAGCTTAGTTTAAAAATGTCTCCCTCATGCAAAGCTCCAAATCCCTGAATAACATAGCTGACATGTATTACATCTTCCCAAAAGAATTTTTATACAGATGCATGTCTCTATTTCTATATGTGAAACTTAAATTGCTAGATGTCTTTCCATTCTTTTATAGATTTTTGACTTTTTCAATTGAATAGTTTATGTAAATGAAGGTTCCAGCTTAAAAATGGGCTGATTCTTAAAAGTACATTGGAGACTTTTGTAACTTGGAACATACTTTCCCATCAAGATAAAGTTGTTATTAGTGGAGGTTATTTAGTTTACTATGTGGGAATGACTTGTCATGTAGGTGAGGTCACTTTTCACTTTCTTTTAACTTGGTCTTACCACATATTCCATCTTTAATGTTTATTTTTCCCACCAATATTTCAATCGTATCTTTGAGTGATTATGCTTTGTGCTGCTCCTGGAGATTAAGGTATCACTTAAAATATTTCTATAAAAACATATTTGAAACTTACAGAACATTTACTCAAAACTATCGTAAACATTTCTATTTCATTGTCACAAGAAAGGAAGTTACTTCGATTTCCTTTATTCTTCCTTTCCAATCTTAGTTCCTATTTCCACATGATGAGAAAATTAGATAATTCCTTGAGTTATATGTTTGAAAACTATTTTGCAAATAATTCATTATAAAGAAAGATGAAGAATTAAAAATAAGCTTTTGGGCATCTCCTAGTGCATAATGTATATAGTTTGGAGGCACAGTCAAGATTAGAAACAGTTTTTGTCATTAGACGAAATGTATAATAAAATGTAAAACTTATTTTTAGGAAATTGCTACTTATCAAAATTACAACTTTTGAATCAGTCACATATTTTACAAAGAAAATATATAATGAAACTAAAACACCCAAATGGCTGTGTCTCAGTTCACTTTTTGTGCTGTAGGCAAACACCAGAGACTATGTAATTCATAAAGAAGGTGGTTTAATTTGGCTCATGGTTCTGAAGGGTAGGGAATTTAAAATTTGTAGTGAAATTTGATGAGGGTCTTAGGTTGTATTGCATGATAGAGCATGTGAGTGTAGTTAGCTGTTATGTTGGAAAGGAAGGGGACAAAAGAATCAACTCACTTTATAATAACTGACCCTTGTGAGAGCTAATAATAATTTTTTTGGTCTTTTTGAGACAGGGTCTCCCTGTAGCCCCTGCTATCCTGGAACTCACTATGTAGACCAGGCTGGCCTCAAACTCACAGAGATCTGCCTGCCTCTGCCTCCTGAGAGCTGGGACTAAAGGTGTGTGCCACCACACTCGGCTAGCTACTGATAATTAACCCAGGCTAGGAACTATACTAATCCTTTATGAAGGGTCCATTCTTTTTTTTAAAAAAAATTTTTAATTTTATTTATTTATTTATTTATTTTATTTATTCATTTATTTACTTTTACACTCACTTCCTAGATAGCACACTCCCATAGCCTCCCTCCCCCGACTAGAGCCCTTATATTCTGATATCCCTGCTACTGTCTGCCCAGCATTTGGGAGGCAGAGGCAGGCAGATGTCTGTGAGTTCAAGGCCAGCCTGGTCTACATAGCAAGTTTCAGGCCAGCTAGAGCTGCAGGAAGAAAGACCCTGTTTCAAAAAGACAAAAAAATTATTATTTTTTAATTTTTTATGTGTATGAGTGTATTGCCTGCATATATATACATATATATGTATATATATGCACCTGTATTATGCAGTGCCCACAGAGGTCAGAGAAGGCATCATATCCCCTGGAACTGGAGTTACAGACAGTTGTTAGTGGTCATGTGGGTGCTGGAAATCCTATGCAAGAGCAGCCAGAGCTCTTAACTTTGGAGCAATCTCTCCAGCCCTATGACCAAACTTCTTTAAAAGGTTCTCACACTGTTGTTATATTGGCAATTAAATGTTCAAACAAGTTTTGTGGGGACAAACTACATCCAAGAAATAGCAACTCTTAAGCAAACTCAGAAACCACGTGAAACGTTGGGCAAAAGTGGAGGTAATGCATGTGGTATTTTCCAACATGAATTTCAGAAGTTTTCTAACTCCTTAGTGTTGGGAGAGCATAGTGTTTTTCTAAAATAAAAGCAATGTTGGTAAAGAGAATTATGCATTTTTAACCTAGAGGAAAATGCCAACAATACTAAGTAGTTTTGGCATGAGTTCTAAGTTTGAAGCACAAATTAACACACACACACACACACACACACACATCTGCTTCACAGGAACATACACACATTTTCTAAGAAAACTATAGTGATATTTTCCTGGCTTATGCAAACTCACATAACTTGGTCATGTATGCCATTACTTGTATAATTGGTGATGAAATGATGAGTAATTTTTTCTGGCTTTCAAAATGAAATTCTTGAAAAGGCTGAAGAATTGGAACCAGCCAAAAATCACAAAGGAAGAATTGTGGTTTCAAGTTCAGCCCAATGTCTTGGAACTCAAATCTGTTTTAAGCAAGGATGCCTGGAGAAAATGTCATCAATTAAAGTTATTTTATCTGAATCCCACACAAATTTCGTGGTTAACATACACACACACACACACACACACACACACACAGACACACACAGTTTTCCTCCATTAGACTGTACATGTTTTAGTAGAATAGTTATTTAGTTTGGTATCTCAAAAACAATTCTTGCTTATAGCCAGATTGTGTGAGTGTGTGTGTGTGTGTGTGTGTGTGTGTGTGTGTGTGGTATAAGCCAGAGACATGTGTTTTCCTCAGTCACTATCTTATTTTTTGAGACAGGCTCTCTCACTGAACCTGGATCTCATCAATTAGTCTGGGCCAATGAACTCCAAGGACCTCCCTGTCTCTGCCTCTAGTGATAAGACTACAGGTGTGCTGTACCAAGCATTGACAAGGATGTTGGAGATCCAACTCAGGTCCTGATGCTTGTGCATCAAGCACTTTACTGACTGATCTATCTCCCCAGCCCCTGTAGTGAACTTTCAGCAAAGCTCTTAATTCAACAGATATTCACCAAACTTGTCAAAATTAAAGAGTGCAGCCAGGGAGATGTCTTAGAGGGTAAAGACATTTGCTGCCAAGCCCAACAACCTGAGCTTGACTTCCAGAATCCACATGATGGAAAGAGAGAGCCAACTTCTGCAAGTGGTCCTCCAACTTCCGCATGCAAACACCCCAATAAATAAATGCAAAAAATGTTAAAGAATGCGTGTCTATTGAGCATAAACTGTGACCGAGGGAGAGCAGTTATATAAAAGCAATGAAAGACAGTTTCTGCTCCAGATTACAGTGCCACCTCACTTTTAAAAGTGCAAAATATTTTCTTCTTTGTGACAGTTCTTAATATAGCTCCTTGCCCTAGGAGTGAGCATTTTCTTCACAAGGGAGAACCACGAAGTCCTTGTCCCGTATTGTGGTTTATGCCTTTGTTGTCCAGGCCCTTAAAGTACCAAAGAAACTTGAAAGTCAGGCAGAGTGTCCAGCGGCTGAAGTCAAAATTAAAAAGCTAGCTGTTGTGCTGTTCAGGGTTGGCCTGGGGCTGTTCATTTGCAGATGGGTTTGTAAGTTTTAGAACCTGGGGCAGGAGAGATGGCTTAGCGGTTAGAGCACTGGCTGCTCTTGCAGAGGACCCGTGTTCGATTCCCAATACGTACATGGCGACCAACAGCCATCCCTAACTCCAGGGGCAGAGGATCCGACGCCCTCTTCTGACCTCTGCAGGCACTGCACGACACAGTGCACTTACACGCATGCGGGCAATAGCGTATATACATAAAATAAAAATAACAATTTAGTTTTATCGATTAAAAAGCCCTGCATGTGACATGCTTCTTAAGCCCCCGCAAGATGCCTACAGCTACTCCTGTGGGGCCTAAAACGGGCGCTTCCAGGTGTGGACGATGCCTGTCCTGGGGCACCGAGCTGCTGCGGTGCTGCCCTCCTCAGGGGTGCGCTGTCCTGGGGTCCTATTGGGGTGCGGGCGGGAGCGGCGCACAGCAGAGGTGTGGGCCGAGCGCTAGGGCCCTCATCCCGCATCACTCCCTGAGTTTGCGCGGGCGGGGCCCTGTCCGTGGTCCTGACGTATCCTCCGCGCTCTCCCCGCCGACTCTGGAGAGAGGACCGGCCCGGCTCCTCCGCACCTGTTCGCAATCCCAGGCAGGATGCCTCCAGGGCCCGGAGGGGGCGGGGTCCAGTTCGTGGGCGTGGCCTGTGGAGAACGGCCGGTGACGGGCGTCTGGAGGACGGGGCGGGGTCAGGACCGGGGCGTGGCCTATGGAGGCCGGACAGTGATGGGCTCTGTGGGGGCGGGGCGGGGGCTGGACCGGGGGCGTGGCCTAAGGAGAACGGCGGGCGATGGGCTCTGTAGGGGCGGGGCTGGGTGGCAG